AATACTTTGCATTTGAATTAAACATAGCTTTTATTTTGGCTAAAATATATTTTCTGGAAAAGCATCTAATTTTTATATGAATACATCAGGAAATGGATAATCAATCACTTCCTTTAGAAGTTTGTCACAGTGGTTAATCGCTGTCACTGTTTGAAAAATTGTGACCGTTTTGAATTTCTGATTTCAACTTCCAGTCACCGGTTCTCATTATGCTTTTCTCTGCCAGATGTAAGAACCCTTTAGTATCCAGTACTTTCTTGTCTGGAAGTAACTATGCAGTGTAATCAAGACATCACTCTTTTTTTTTTCTTCACAATAAACTCAGTGGATGGGTTTCTAAACCTCTCAAGGTCAGGTGTCTCCTTCCTTCATCAGTTCAGTCTAGCATTTGTTCCTAGTTGCTATTTAAGTTGTTAACAGAGGTTGGTCAAAACTGGACTCTAGACTTCTGTGAGATGTACTGTGAGGAGATAAAACCACATTACTGCTCGCTGCTCCCTTATTTGTAGGTATATGGATCATGGGACAACTTGTCCTTTTTTTCAGTCTTTCTGGAATTAGTATTTTCATGCTGTGTTACTTGCCCACTGTGATTCCCAAACCAGTCTCCAAAATCACAACTTTCCAGGATCCAGGGTCCTATCAGGTTTATTTTGCTCTCTGCCTTTAGATCACCTTTGCACTGACTGCATTTCACTCAAATGGTTCCCTTCTAACAAGTGACCCAAAATACTCTTAGCATTAGTATTTTCTCCTCATCGTTATTTACCAGGCTGCTAATATTTGTTTCAGCCATCTGTCTATCAGTGCTGACTTTATATTCCCTTGCAGAAGCGTCAGTGAAAATGCTGAATAGAACCGAGTATACTTCAAAGCCCTGCGGAAAGCCAGTAAAGAATCCTCATTTGATGATGATCTGATTGACGCAGCTGGGCTTTGAGTTATGCTAAATAGCCATGTCTTAGCCATTTAACATAAGTTTCCTTCATGTTATATAGTGTTTATCTAGTAAGTATGTCATGCACTAAGTCTAAAGCCTCGAGAAAGCCTGCTACATCTGTACAGTTGGCTTTTTTTTGCAGGCAGAACATGAAACCAGTTTTATTTGAGCTATTTTCCATAAACCCACATTGACTGGCAGTAATTAAAATCTTGTTCTTTCATGTTTTGGCAGTTCAGTTCTGTCTCAGTTTTTCCACTGTTTTACCTGGGATTGAAGTGAGGTTAGCTGCTCAATAACTCCCTTGTAATTGCACTTGATTTCCTGTTCTCCCTCTCTCCCCTCCTTTCTCTTTATCTCTGTCTCTCACATTCTCTTTTTTTCCAGGTTACTACCCTGCTTCCAGTCACCTGGAATCTCTCCGATATTAAAATTTATTAAAAATTAACATTAGCAAGCCAGAGCTCTCCTCAGTCAAATATTTTAGGACCCCTGGGTGTTATTTATCCAGGCTTGCTGATTTAAAAATGTTTATCTCTACTAGATGATGTTTAACATCCTGCTTATTTCCTAATGGGCTGGAAAGTACTTATTCAACCTTGGTCTCATATAAATACTATCAAGATATTGCTTTGCAAAATACCAAACAAAAATATTTATTGAACAAGTCTGGCTTTTTGTATTGTTGTTCACAATTTTGCCTTATGCAATTCAAACGCTCCTCAAAAATCTTGCTCAGCATCACCATGGACCAATTTTTCACAATCTCTATATTTTCCAGTATCAGTTTCTCTTCACTTCAGACAGTTGCTGTATTTTTCCCATTTGTTGAATCTTTAAAATACTTTTGGTTTACCACTGGAGTAGTTGAGCCTTAGCCAGACTGTCCTTGATGATGCTGATGGACTGACTCTATTCTGAAAGAACTTCTGATTTCCATTCATTTTTCCTCTCTGATTTCTTCCTCCCACTCACTGTTTTCTCATAATTTTCGTCAGCTGGAGGATATTAGCCATTGGGAAGCACCAGCTACAATTGTCTTAATTTTGTCCACTTTTAATTATGAGCTCTTAGGATAATGTCCCTTGCCAGCTGCATGACTGCTACGTTCTCTTAATCAGAGTGAGTTGCAAAATAAGTAGTTCATGTTGGATGCAGTATCTTTTCCTTATGTAAATGTGTAAGTGCAGAGTGTCATACAATCACTTCCTCACTGATTTGGATGAACTGTATTGCACTCAGGATTAACAAGATCATTAAGATTTCTCCAGAAACACAGGTTAGGTCTGGGAATTGTGCACCGGATTCAGGCCTGGACCTCACCTTCTCCAGGGAATAACAGACATCAGGCTTTGCTTTTCATTTTGGCCTTATCTCACATTCGGTTCATTCCTCTCTGCCTAAATTGCTCCATATTCTGATGCCTTCCTCAGGGCTCACTGCTGCAGATGGTGTATTTATATTAACTTAAAGATTGCATTCCATCTTTCAAATGAGATTAATATATTTTTCAGGCCATTGTGGTTACCCGACCTGACCTCCTATAAACGCAGCCTATAATTCTTCACCCGGATTCAAGCATCTGGCCCTATAACTCATACTTGAAACACGGCATGTCTTTTTTAGAAAAGCATCTCGTGGACACGTAAAGCCTCTGTCACTTAGATATTTTTCCTTATTTAGAATAAAATTCAGTCTCTTGGTGATGTATAAACATCACAGTACCAATGGCTGTCTATAAATGTGCAACAGTGTCATACTCCTGTGTTTCAGTACCTGTCTTCTCCCTGCCTAAAATACTGCCCTTAGTTTCTTCCAAGTGGATATTGTTCTCAGGATCTGGAAGTCACTGAGAGTTACAGATGCTTAATGAAAGAGGCATGAAAAAACACAAAATAATCCAGTTGCTTATGGTGCCATACTTGTTAGACACATGTCCAGGGGCTGACTGACTGTGTCTCTGATTGTTATGTTTTACGTTTTTCTGTAATGTCTTTCAAATGAGGATGGAGCTACAACTGTTGGAATTAGGAAAGTATTGTCATTTGCTCTGTGAAAAGGACAAATGTTTTTGTATCTATGATTAGTTTCAGAAAGCAGAAACTGGGATAGAGTGTTCAACCTCTTACTAGTACTCCTGGGGTTTACACTTATTTTTTATTTAATTTAATTTCTTTTTCTATGGTGAGATTTTACACTGAACCCTAATATACTCCTGCAGAATGGCATTCTCCTGGGCCTATTTGAAATTCTTGATCTTTTCTGCATCTGTTTAAATCCTGCGTTCATGCACGTACAGCACAAGGTCAACCCTTTTGTTTGTTATTTTTATGGAGTTTAAAGAAAGTCCAAATACCTGACCGAGGTACCTGTCTGGTGCAGCCTTGTGACAGTTGCAAAATCTTCAGACTCAGATAGTCACATGATTAACTGTTTCATGAGGAATACAAGAGACCATAAAATCAGGGGTGTGCTATGGGTGGTTGGGGCTGGCTCATCACTCACTAGAATACAGAAGGTGGCAAACTGAATGCTCAAAGGAAACCAGCCAAGCAATATGTTGCCAACTCATGCTCCAGAGCCCTGCGTACAGGGAGGTTAAGAGCTCACAAACAAACCACAAAGCTCAGGTCTTCCTTTGGCTTATCACCTTCAAGTTCAACCTTACCCCACAGCATAGCTAACCAGCTTCAGAAGATCAAAGAGCATGCAAGTAGAGATGATCTGCCAAGAATATTTTGGGTTATTTCTGCAGAAGTTACACACTTGAGTCCGTACTGGCACTTTGCAAGTCAGTATCGAACTGAGTCTCCAGTTCAGTGTTATTAGAGGTGTCATACTCCTAGGGGGTTGTTGCTCATCTCAAACGTGAAGCTGGGCTGCCTATTGTGCAAGTGGCTGCACTGCTAAAATCCCAGAACTTGCTCATGAAAGGTCTAGTTTTGGAATGGCTACAGTTAGCCCTGAAATTATAATTACTTTCAATTTTTATCTGCTTTTTTTTTCTTCCCAAAACATAAACTCCCTTCAGACGTTTGAAGGGATTGTGTTATATTTCTGCTACATTTTATTGGTGTGAATCTTTGGGGAGAGGCTGATGTCTAAAGGAAATTTATTATTAAGAACTAGCTATACTGTTTCCCAGCAGTGAGCTTGTTACTGCCACATCCCCGTCTAAACTCTGTAATTGGTAATTATGTTTGTCTGACCTACATTCTTCTGCGTAATTGTACTGAGATATGGTATCTTTCAATTCCTGAGTAAAAATGTCCACACCAGTTCTGAAGTGTTGCTGAGCAGAAGCTTTCACCCTCAAAAGGCAATAGTATTTTTGTGGTGGAGGACGCATTTTTTAAAAATGTGTATAGCACTTGGATCCTATGGGGGTAAAAAGCAATGTTGAAATAAGTTAGATATAATGACATGATTTTTCAGAACCTAGGAAACTAATGGTCAATTAAGTCCCAGTGGAGGGTGCGTATTAGCTTCCTAATTTGTTTTGGATCCATGACTGGAATGTGTACGCACATGCTATTCAGTCTGGAGCATTCATGTGAAAGATCCTTTGGGTAATTTAACAGCTACAAATGGTACTTCCATCTAAAATTGTTATTGTGTTGTGTTTCTGCACCAATTGAGCCTTCAGTAACAGATCTGATGATCAGGATAGAAAATTCCTTCTCTCCTACCGATTTTATCATCAAAAAAAAGGAAAATTCATATTCCTTCTGAGGATAAAAAACCTTCCTTCCCACTTAACAAAAAAAATTATTTCCCATAAATAACATGGGAATTATCTTTTCTACTGCTTCACCTCAGAAGTTTTTCAATATTTTGTGCCCATGAAGACTGGAGGAGCTAGTGGATTACTAGTATTTTCCAGTATGTGGATTAGATAATTTGACCACAAACCTTGTTTCTGAGCCTTTCACTCTTTGGCTTATTGACCCAAAAGTTTTTCATCTGTTTCTTGGAGGCTACTGAGAATTCTGATATTTTTTCCATCTGTTTCTCGAAATTTCCCTTGTGAACACTCGGCATGTTTCCCTGTTCCTTCCAGATGACCCTCTCTTGCTGTTCCCACTGGGTGTCATAAACTCCATGACTCCTTCCAAGAAATGTTAAGGTGAGTCGCATTTTATTTATTGTGCTGAGTAATGCCATTAACACGTTCCAAATTGATCTATCAAAGAAGTCAGCCCAGAGAGCCTGCTCAGTGAGCAACTTCAGGTCAAATATTTAGGTGGGGCAACACCACTCACCTGAGCACTATGCGAAGTTGTTATTGAAGTATATTTCCTAAAATACCCCTCTGGGCTCCGCTGGAGTTGCTGGACCAGCTGCTCCTTTTAGAGTACCCCTCTGAAATGTGAACACAGGACAGTGAAACTGCTGTCCTGATGGATCAGTCATCTGGAACAGACATTATTAATAAGGAGTGATAGACTTCCCATTGAATTGGGATGAAGGAATGTCTATTTTATCAGTGGTTTGTTTTCTCATTTTTTGAGCTGAGTGCTGAGCCCCTGAGCATAGCCTGGCAGAGGCTGAATCTCACTTTAGGGGAAGTGCACTGTGTTGACACTTCCAATGGCTGCAATGAATGCTGGCAAAAGCAATCTCTTCATCTGAGGGAAATCAAAGAAGTAAAAAAAAAACAAACACCAGAATCAGGTAATTCCTTGTGATGTATTAGAAATACAAAAGTTGCTGTCCAGAGCTTCTCAGAAATTGGTTATTTGTCCTCCAGCTGTCTATGGGGGACAAGAGACAGCTATTTGTTCCCTAAAAAAACCAAGAGGTTCATTTAATAAAAATCTCTCCTAAACCTATTTCTCTTTACATATTTTGACTTCACTGAAACTGTGTTGTTCCTCTTGATCCTATTTTCTTCCAGCTATGCATCTGCCTTGATCTGCACATACCATGATATTTCAAGATCCACCCTTTGGGAGAAGGGGGAGCAACCCTAACAGGAGTCCTGGCCACAGGAGTGCTGGGCAAGCTGGAAGCCTGGCACACGAGGGAGAATGGGAAGAATGAGACCACAGAATGACAGTGTTCCTGGTTACCAGGGAAACAATCCTAAATTGGAGCTTTTTTTTTCAATCAGAATATTTGTTTTCATTTGAAAAATTTTGAGAAGGGGTCTAGTTTTTTAGAAACAAAAATAATTTTCAGGGGAATATCTGTTTTTAAATTCTGACCTTTTTTTAAATGAATATTTCTAATATGTAGATTTGATCTAGAAAAAATATGGTGAGCTAAGTCATCATCATCCTTTCATAAACACCTGACGTTGTACATAACTTCATAAAAATACAGACATCATTGATGGAACTGGAGGGACTTAGAGGGGTCCTCTGGTACAGAATAGGATCAACCACACCTGAATTTCTCCCAACAGCTATTAACATGCTTGCAGAGAAGCTCCTACTGTGGGGATTCTTCAGTCATTTTAGGTGATCATACAGCTTCCCTACCCCCACAGTTAGTAAGTTTTTTCTGATATCAATCTAATCTTTGTCACAATTTTAAAGCAGTTAAACACAAATGTTGACTTTACTCTGCAAAGCAATCTTTTGCATATTTGCAGACCATTATGTATCCCCAGCCTCTTCCAAATACAGTAATGTCAACATTACTTTCTTGGTCAGAGGTCTATAAATTCATGACCTTTCATGCTTTATTCTCTTTATACTCTGTATCTTTCTGGAAGTGTCATACCTACAGCTCACATGAATGGTTTTATCCCAGCATGCACATTTCTGATTGTGGAAAGGATCCTACTTTTTAAGCAATATCTGCATCTCTTCCTTTGAGCTGAACAGATATCTCACTATATCCAAAACTGTGTGTTTAAACATATTTTACCCTTCATGCCTATATAACAACAATATTTTGACAATGTAATTCGTCAGTAGCATCCTCCTGTTAAGAGCTATCATCTATGATCTGAAGAAGTGATACAAATCTTAAGTACTCATAACCCTCTTGACTTGTTCATCGAAGATGATCTTACGTAGCCTTCACACCTGCCATTTCTCTGGCATTTTCCTCCACAGTATCCATTTGATGCTCATTAGGTTTTCAAGTTATTTTCCCAGCTTTTTAACTATGTGTGCAATCTTGTATTCTAAATAGGGTTGTTTATGCCCCATGTGTTTCAGTGAGTATTTTGGTAACAGTACACAAGCAGGCGATATATTTGTCCTACACATCTTTGTCCCAGCATTCTGCAGTTCCTTCCCACTCGTGCCTGAAAATTGGAGTACACTGTTTTTTTCCTTCATCTCATCATTGTTGTTGTATTTTTTTTTACCCTCTAGCATTTTTAGAACATAACATATTTTCATGTAAGTTGTGTTAATTATGTAACAGTAATTTATCTCAGATAAGATCTTTTATTTTTGTTTCAATTTGGCAATTAGAATGCAGAAAATTTCAGGCTTTGAACCCTACCTTTTATGTCAAGTTGTCTGCCCACAACTGATGAGTCTAAGTATCTTATTTGCCTCAGAAAAGGAAGTGAAAAAAGTACCATCTGCAAATTTATTGGGAATTTAAATATCTTGGAGGTATGGCTGAAGAAATAGATCACGGAGTAATCAAGGAGTTACTCTGTAATAGTGACCACAGAGTACTTTGATCCAACACCCTAAAAACCATTATTCAAGGGCATCAAGAATAAAAGTACCTATTGCTTCAGACACATCATCATAAGACAACTGGCCAGTGTCTGATTGGCAGAGAAACTAAACGAACCTTTTTTGCTCACGCATCACAATTTACTGGGGTTCTTTGAAGGGGTGAGCAAGCACGTGGATAAGAGAAAGCCAATATGTATTTATTACCCAGATGTCTAAAAACTATAGTGCTTTTGGGGGAACTAAGTAATGGTTGGAGAAGAGGATAGACTATTGCATGAATTAAAATAGCTTAAAATGTGTAAAATAGAGAGTAAATGGCAAATCTCACAGTGTGCTGCTAGAGGGATACGTAGAAATGTGAATGGCAAGTCTCACAGTTGAATACTACATGGATCTGGTTTGACCTCTGATCTTATAACCATTCTTATGTTCTAATTGAGTTCATGTGCCATGTGCTTGATCCAGGACTCTTGAGTGAATGGTAAGTCTGACTTCCTATGTCCTAAATATGTTGCTTCCACATGAACTCCTTTAATGCTACTTCACCCTGACAGTTTTTGTTTGGGAACCAAACCCGGTGGGGACTAGACACTCTACTGCTTTGTTAGGAAGGTTCAGTTTCTAACTTCAATATCCATTTCAGCAGACACTTTATTGCTATGCACACAAATTTGATACAGTATTCCCTAGCTGCCTTCTTACAAATCTGGATGTTGATGTTGTGTCATCTTTAGGAGATCGTAGGATGGTGGCCCAAAGCAAGCATGCTAGGCTTCCCAGTAACGCTGGTCTTCCCATGGGAAGAGCTGTAGTGCTCTGCTTTATTCTCTTAATCTTATGGAAAGCATCTCTAGATGTTCATCTCTCTGTCATCATCCCCGAGATACCTTAGTGACACAGAATTATCACAATCACAGATCCTGATTCAGGTATTCTTTCCATGTTGGTAGAACACCATAAGTCCCATGTTCTCTATGAGCTGCCATGGCACTGCTGTGTTATGGATGTTACTCACTCTGCTGTATCTATTGCTGTCAGATTTGATTGTCCTCATCAAACCAATCAGCTGACAAATAGACTGTATTGCCTTGAACGTCAGAGTAGATTTTCTAACTAGGTCTAGCTACTGAGCATATGCAGGAGCCAGAATAGCAGTTGCCTGCCTTTATTTCATCCTCCTCCTCTGACAAAGCTAAACTAGCTGATGCTCCCTACCCAACATGATCGTTCAGGCCTTTTAGCATCCTCTATTCAAACAACTTCTAACTCTTGTAAAGAGAAATTGTAACTCCTTCTAGACTGCTGGGTGGGGATGATGGAGAGGAATTACCCCAGGTGGGCAGACCCTTGCACATATATGACTCAATGGATATCATGTATTACCAAGATATATAATCCCTGGATATCTTCAAATATGTGCCTTTCTGACCTTGAACAAGCACGGAACAGCATTCTTGTGACACTCTAGGCTATACATCTAGAAAGAAGTGTAAATTCATCAGTATCCACTAAAGAAGAGTCTGCTGTCTGTTGAAATGTGCTAGCATTGCTGGCTCTCCACTGATCTGCAGCAGAGCTCCTTGGTGTACAAAAAGTCTTAATGACACCATGTCCTGATGACCATCACTCTTATACCAGGACAGTGGCAGATCTAGCTCAGCATGGCAAAGTTTTGTTTTGGGATCTGAGTGACTCAGAGAGGGGGACACTTCCCAGGGATACCCAATGCTGAAGGACATGAGGGCACTGTAGTGCTGTGAGTAATGTAACTATATGATGTTTTCTTCACACAGACAGATTTAAATCAGTCATGAGATTTGGGCTGAGGAAAGAGTATTTCTTCAGCAGGTACCAACATGTCTCTGCTTCCTATAGTTTTATCCTTTTCTGCAGCATTGTGCACGGTCCATTGCCCAGGGACTGTATGTTCCAAAGCTTGTCCACTGTATCCACCTATATTAAATGGCCAAATAATAGTTATCAACATTACTAATCTAAGATCACCCACGTAGTTTCACCTACAAATGCCCATGAGTCACACTGTCCCACCTCCCACCCCCAACGGGCTGTGTCATTAATATATCCTATATTTGTCCTTTACATAGTCCAGTCTTGAAGCTTTTGATCTTTGATGCTGAAAGTTTAAATCAGGTGTTGAGAGCTGTTTTGTGATTAGAGATGTCTAGGGCTGGGGGGAAGGTAAAGGAGAAATACGTATTTCTTTCCTTATTCACCTTTCATATACCATGGCAGGGACTGTACAAATCTGGTCCTGATGACCCAGCTAGAATGTTCCAATTCTGTTTTTCCTCTCCCTTGAAGGACTGTGGTTCTTCAGCAAAAGGTAAATAACCCTTTTTCCTCTGACCCAGAAATACTTATATGAGTCATAATGTTCTAAATGTGCCTGTTGGTGTAAAACTACATGCTGATCTGAAATCCTTCTTTGGGTTTCAAGGTTGTTTCAGAACAAAGTGTATTTTAATTCTTCACAAATATTTTACTTTATTGTCTTTAGAACTGGGGATGAAGGAACCTATATGTGATTTTATTAACACAGAGCAAATATCTGACTGTTTACTTCTGGTTTCGTAACTGCACCCTGGCAAGGGAAGGGGAGATGAGGAAAGGAGACTGCAGAGATTTAAGCAATTCTGACAAGGACAGAATAGAAATCAGTGCTTCTAGAGAGTCTCTGTCTCCTAAATTTCTCTGTAGTGCCTACTGGACCATTGGTAATCCCCACAGAGTGGGATTTTCAGAACTATTGGAGAGGCCACTGAGAATTTAAGTCTTTTATGATTTGTCTTCCTGAGCCAAAGAGATTCCCCTCAAGTAGCTTAATGTTATTCAAAATAAGGTTATTCTGACTCAGTTAAGCAAAGGGATCTCACCTTCTAATAAACTCAGGTGGACACAACACCATAGCTAAAACTTATTCTTAAAACTTTAAGTCCCTTGAAACAAACTCTTTCGTGAGTGGAATTAGAGTAGGAGAGAAGGGGGCAGACAAAACTGAACAATTGCTGGGAATGTGAGAATTATATAGGGCCAATAATGAGTTTATCAAAAAGAAGAGCTGGCTAAAAGCTGTAGGAGGACAGTGACAGCTTGCCAGGTTTTCTTGTGGGTTTTTTATCACTATTTTAAAGTTTCACAAAAATGATCTGTTCTATAGAAATAATGCTTTGAAATACTTTAAAATATATGGTAGTCAGAATAGCCTCTTGCAACTCTAGAGGTTTTGCTCTTTCTCTCTCTGGAGAAACCGTGACTCTGCAGGTCTCAGGTGGAACCCCTTTGTAAATACAAAGAGTCTGCCTAATGTGGGCATTACAGAGTTGGGAGATGCTTAGTTTTGGTAGCCTGGATTTGAACCTTGAATGACTACAGAAGGTGAGGGGCGGGAGGGGAGCAAAGATGGCAAATGGCACTGTCATAATTACTCAAGAGGTATTTACGACAGTGCCGTGGACTCTATTGCCTTGTGTT